CTGCCTGCCTGCCCTGAGCACAGCCCTGACCCACCCCCCCTCCCTGCTGGGAAGAGGCTGGCACAGCCCCTGAGCTGACAGCAGGCAGCCCACCCTCACCCCACATACAAATCTGGGAGGGGGTGCACACAGCAGTGGGAGCTGCCCCTACGCTGACCTGGACAAGCTGCTCGCAGCTCCGTCTCGCACCCCGCCTCACCCTGACCCAGCTGGACAGCACCTGCCCCAGCACCAGCCCCCACTCCCTCCCTCACCATAGGAGCCTCAGTTTCCCCACACACACACTCCTTTCCACCCCACAGGCTTACCAGCCAGATGCCACTCTCCAAGCTGCATACTACATTCTTTGCCACTGTCACGGAGCAGGGACCTAGGAGCGGCCGTGATCTCTCCTAGCACCCCCTACCGTGCCAAGTGGGGTGTCCATGCACCCTCGTTCTCGCCCGCCACGTCTTTGATGACAAAAGTATTAAGGGAGGCTGCCTTTTCAACCCCTTCGGACATGGTACCCTGATGTATCCCAGTTTGTCTCCCATCTAAGTGGACTCCATGAATTAAAGCCTCACGGGCTATGCGTGGCGCCTACCACCCCTAATACCATGCCCCAAGCCTCTCAGATATACTGGACATTGGTGTGTCTATTCTTGTTGCCTGCGCCCTCCCTGGGGCCTTCCCCTTGCGATCCCCGCAATTGAGGCTCAGGTGGCCTTAGCCATGCCTGGCCTCCAGACCCCCTCTTGGGTCCTATACACCACTGGGGCTTTGCTCAATAGGGCTCAGGCGGCCTCGGCCGTGCCTGGCCCCCAAATTCCCTCCCTGGGGCTTCTAGTCCTACGCGCCCTCCCTGGGGCTTAACGCAAGCACCCTCTGGGCTTCTCACCAGTGCCCACTCTGGTGCTCCTCACAATTGGGGCTCAGGTGGCCCTAGCCGTGCCTGGCCCCTAAATCCCCTCCTCTGGTCTACTTTTTCTATATGGCTCAGGTGGCCTCAGCCTTACCTGGCCCTCCAATGCACTGTGCCCTTTCTCAGGGCTCTGGGGTCAGTGCACCCCTAGGTGCAGTGCCCTCTCTGGCACCAGGGTCCCCACACCACTGTGGAGCCCCTAATGAGGCCTCCTCCAACCTCTATTAGCCTCACCCGGTCCTCTGGTTTAATTACAAACAACAAACGCAACAACACGAGCCAACCGGCTATAACTCAGAACTAAGCCACCTGGCTAAACGTGAACTCTAAGCCCTCTGGCTACTCATCAATCAAATCCCCTACCCGGGCTTTCTCTTCCTAGTATCCTCGAGCCAAAGCTGTTCAGGCCATCTAGCTTCTTTAGGCTGCAGTGCTCCAGCAGAGCTCCTTTATCCTTTGATGTTAGCAGGGAACTGCCTGCTTGGCTTCAGCCTAGGCTGTTTATATAGGCCAGGCCCTGTCCCCTTCCGGCCAGCTGACTGAACTGCGGTTGCCCCGGCAACCGGCACCTGTACCTTTTCCTAGGAGCAGGTCACTGAAGTGGCCCTGCGACAGCCACGGGCATGCTGGAGCTGCATCTATGCACACAGCATTTATTGGTGACATTATAGGCAGCATCAGCCAAAAAAAGATGATTGCACATAATGTCAATTTCCCTTTTATTGGAGCTGATACAATATGGACCAATATATTGGTGTACTGCTAGTAAATACCATTAATATTTATTATTGTACATTAAGGGTAATACAAGATAACAATGTTTTACAGTTCGCACATAGTACCTATCTAGTATATTGCTAGAGGCACACCACAAGGGTCGCCCCCCACCCCACAGCCCCCACAGGCAGCCCCTCCCCA